GATATTTAAGGAACAGCACTGACTCTTAACCCTGTTTCTTCCCAGTGAATTCAAGCCTTTTGTATTGGCTGCTGTTTAATCTTTTCTACTCTGGTTATTTTAGATGTTAATGAGTGTATCACTGGGGCACACAACTGTGGGATTGGACAAACTTGCATCAATACCCTGGGATCCTTTCGCTGTCAGCGTGACACGAGCTGTGGAACTGGTTACGAATTGACTGATGAAAGTCTCTGCAAAGGTATGTCATAGGCTGTGAGCCTGGGTTAGATCATGAAACTGACCTTTACCAGAACAGAATCCTAAATAATTCATTGTACCCTGCTGTTCTTGTAGTTCTGTGGAAATATGTATAGGAGCTGCAGTTCCATAAAAGCTATGTTTATTATCTAGCACTTAGTGTGCTAGATCGTCTAATCATTAGTGTCTGAATCCTGATCAATTTTCCCCTTTTCTGCTAAAATTAGAAATCAATTGTCCCTTTATTTCACATAAACTTAATATGAGTTTATTGTTAATCAAATATATATCTTTATTATTATTTATAATGAAATAGTTACCAGGTTTGTACTTAGAACTGGCCTTAACTGAGCATATTTTACTAATTTACTAGGTAGCATTGAAGACCCTGAAAGATTTAAGAGCAAAAATAAGTTGCTCTTAAACAGTGTTTAAGAAATCTGAAAACATTTTTATTGGAACATTTTAAGTGAGCATGCATCACCCTAAATCATGGTTAATCAAAAATTTCAATGCAGTGATGAAAGTGGACTCTTAAGTGTCTGGATTCAAAAGGCAACAATTTAAAAATAACACTCCTTATTATGTTATCTTATTTTTATTGCTTAAGCTATTTGTCCTATTATATTAATCCTGCTAGCAGAAGTTGCTAGTTTACCAGCAGCCTAAACTATTAAAACAAAACAAACCCAAACCCCACAACCTCTCCTCCCCCCTTCTCCCTCCCCAAAATAACCCAAGCTTCGGAGTCAGTAATTTTGTAATTATTTCTTAAAACACATTTTTTCCAAGAATTCATATCAGTTTTTATGGTTTTTAATTCTTGTGGCTTTTATTTTGCTTATTTCTCAAGAAGTTTCCATATTTTTTTTGTTTTTTGAAAGTCTTGCGACTTTTTAACCTTATTTTTACTTCATGTAGGACTGCTTAATTAATAATTCTCTGGTCCTTTTCCTCTATTCATACTCCCAGACCAGATCTAATTTTTATGTAATCTAAATCCTTAGGTTTGCTAAAATTAATATATACTTATGAATATATATATTTATGAGCAACTATTTTTTTTCTTAATACTGCTTTGGGAAATAGCATGTGACACTTCCCTTCTTCACAGAAACATAACTGCTCAGCAAACCCAATGTGATATGGGTGGTTCCAATGTGAAAAATCCTTTTCTTTATGATTAAAAAATGTAAGCTACTGTACACACAGTACTTACAAAGCACTTGGAGTAGACCTCAATATGCTCCCTCTAAAGTCAATGGAAAATTTGTCATATGTTTTTGTAATCATCATGAGTAATCAAGTAGAAAATGTTCCACTTGATTTTCTACAGTATTAGAATTACATTGATTTTTATCCCTGTTAAGTACCTATGCATGCTACAGCCTATACGGTTAAAAAAGGCCTCACAGGTATTATTTAATGTGAGGAAAGCAGTTGTCATTGTTACATTTTCTGGATGAGAGAACTGAATCAGGACTTCATTGAAGTCATGTTACATCTATAGGAATAATTTTCTCAGCATTGATAGCATTTTAATTCTTTCTGCCCTCATCTGCATTTCCACAGAAGTGTAACATTTGCTTAGAAATTCCTGCTTTTTTAAATTGCTTCGAAGAGTGAGAAATATAGGGGCTGAAAACAGGCATCTTTAGTCTCAGTTTTTATTTGGGGAAAAATTCCCATTAAAGTCAATGATATGAATTATGATTTACAGTAAACCCTTTGTATACCACACTGGGAATGGAGAAGATCTATGAAGTGAGCATAAATTACATGTAATCACATTTTAAACTGGAGTGATATAAAGGGCAGGGGTGACTGGCGCCTCCTGAGTCTGGCGGGGGAGGGGCACAATTGGTGGGTGGGCCCAGGGAAGGGCCAAAGGCCCCATATCCCTCTGCGGCTTAGTGTCCACCCCCACCCCCCAACACACCGCCAGCCTACACGGCAAAAAAACTGCCCTATCCAAAGCAGTGCTCAGTCAGGGGCCAATCTCAGGTGGGGTATGTGCCCCCCCATGCCCCTTCTACCAGTTGCCTGTGTAAAGGGGCCTCTATATAACATGAAAATTAAGTACAGTGAGCTTACCCTAGGGCTCCTGCCAGACATGCAGGTAAAAGCACTATGGAATCTGATGGGCGAGCCCTACAGTTGTGCTTCCTGCCATGCCACACATGCATGGCAGGAAGCTGGGGGCCTCCTCAGCTGGGAGCCTCCTCAGCTGTCGGGGCTCCCAGCTGCGGAGGTACTTCTGCAGCTGGGAGCCCAGGTCAGCTAACAGGCCTCCCAACTGCAGGAGTGCAAGGTATGCCCCTGCACCTAGAAGCCCAGATCAGCAATGGGCTCCCAGTTGTGGGTCTGCATGGTATGTTCCCCTAGCTGGGAGCCTGGATCAGCTGATGGGGCTCCTAACCACAGGTGCACACCTGGCCTCGTGTTCAATTAATGGCATGATAGGAACCAGCCACCAAGTTTTTACACATTTTTGATTGAATATGTGAATGTTTGATTGAATGCCAGATCAAAATTTAAGATGTGATTAATTGGTTAATCTTGTCTTAAGTCTAACATTTGGTAGGGTGTCCTGAATTATGACATCAGGATACAGTTTCTGACTCAGCAGAGCATTTGGCCTTAGAAAATACTGCTTCAGACATTATAGCACTATTGCAGTAATTCGGGGCAAGACTGCAGAAAATGAAAGTCTGCTGCCTATTTCTGTAAGATTCAGTTAAAAACATTGGGCCAAAGTTATGCCCAATGCATCTGCATTGGAATGAATGGGGGTGCATCTGGGATGAATTTGGCCTATAGTTTTTAACTGTCTCTCTTTTATTAAATGTAATGAAAGCTTCTTTTTTCCTGTAAAACTCCTGCTAACAATCTTTTTTTGTGATATACCAGATATTGACGAATGTGAGACTGGTACTCATAACTGCCCCCCCGATTTTATCTGTCAGAATACTCCAGGATCTTTCCGTTGCCGCCCCAAGCTACAGTGCATGAATGGGTTTATACAAGATGCACTAGGCAACTGTATCGGTAAGAAAGACATTGTCATTTCAATAAATTCATAATTTTGCATGTAGGCCAAAAGGCTGTTTTACTAAGTCAGTTCTGAATCTCCTACTGCTGATGTACTTGCTGCTGTATTATAGCATTTTTTTGTTTCCACTGAAGGCAGGATTTTTTTTCCTTTTAGTGTAAGACTTTCAAAAGAAGTCATAGGTGTGTCCATTCCAAAGAGCAACAGTGCCATACTGTAATGCATCCTATTGTGTGAACAAGCTACCTTCCTAACTGGAGGTAAAGTTCAGGGCTGTGTGTGCCAATAATCACTTTTGAAAGGCAGTATCTAGTGTTGGACATGCAGCATGACACTGAAACAAGTCTATTACTATTTTCTGGGAGGCAGCACATACAGAACAAGTGTGGCATGTCTTAATAGAGCACTGTCTAGCAGCATATGTGAGCAATACATAGGCATGCACTAACAGACCTAAGTGTATCAGTTCCATTTTCAGTAGAAGAGTTGGGTACTTTGGAACCTATTTTCCTTTGGCTTTCAACAAATCTTGGGCTTCTAGGTGCTGAAACATTGTTGAAAATTTTAGCTGAAGTATTTTTTGGGTTTTATTTTGGTTTTACTTATGTTCCTCTAAAATAAGATTTTTAAAACTTCACTTTGGGGCCCTCTTTCTACACGTTACACTGTAGAGTTCTGAGTTGCCCGCCTGGTATTAAAATAGCCTTTATACCGGAATTCAGTTTTGCTGATATCTGCAAATGATGAATACTCAGCTATATAGAGCAGGCCTTAGTTTCCAAAGGCATCTGCCATTTATTTTTCAGTGATGAGAGAATTTTGTCTCTTCAAATTGTAAACCAGATAAAGAATTTAACCATGTGGTGTCATGATTATTAGAGCTAATTATAATTAACTATGGAGTGAGGCTTAATTTTAAAGACTGAATAGAAACTTGGGTTAGTATCTTGCCTCTTAGCTTACTTTGTAGACCCTAGAAATCCTAACAAATTATAATTACATTTGTGTGCATTTACGTGTATGCCCATGCATTTGTGTATGAAGAATCATTAGTTTTAAGCCAACTCTAAAGAGATTTGCCTGATGCGTCCTACAAATCTATCTGTCCTTCCCTTGACAAGCTGCTGCCAAGTCCCAAGTTACCTTTATATTACTCTGGCAGCATAACATGTTTTGGACTGGTGGAACTTGGTGAGCAACAGGAGTTGCCAACTCTTTCAATTGTCAGGCCCCCATTTTCCCATCACCCTCCCCTCCTTTACTGAAATCTGATACTTAAAACATTGACACTGAAAACAAAATGATTGCTAGTGCAAAATTGTACTCCATAAATAAAGGTCACTTAAGGTTGGTGGACAACCTTGCCTTTAAAAGCTAATCTCTGACACATGTAGGGTTAGATACTCAGATTGTACTTGGTGTGGCTGTGTTGACATCTTTGGACCTACACCAGTTTAACCAGCTGTGGATCTGGAGAGTTTTGAAACAGCTTAATGCATTGTGTTTTTGTTTGTGTTTTAACCTATGCATCACAATACTGCATTGCATTGTACTGTGGGAGAAAGAGAGGGTGGGAAGCTTCCCACCTTTTTAATATCTTCGTTTCTCCAAGGTGGAAATAGCCTTCACCTGATTTCTTTCTAGGATTAGGTGACAGGCTTTGTGGATGTGGGGAGAGCAGTGGATGTGATATATCTTGACTTTAGCGAGGCTTTTGGCACCGTCTTTCATGACATTCTCCTTAAATTAAGGAAATACAGACTAGAAGAAAATACTGTAATATGGATACAAAACTGGTTGAATCCTTGTGCTCTCAGTGAGTACTCATCAATATCTCAATGTGTAGGTTGGAGGAGGTATCAAGTGGGGTTCCCAGGGGTCTGTCCTGAGTTCAGTATTGTTCAATATATTCATCAGTGATTTGGGCAGTGGGCTGGAAATTATGCTTAGAAAATTTGTGGGTGACACCAAGTTGGGTAGAGTTGCAGACACTCCAGAGCATAGGATCTAGAAGGATCTGGATAAACTGGTGAAATAGTCTGCAAGCAATAAGATAAAATTCAACAAGGACAAATTCAAACTCCTACACTTGGAATCGAATAATTGAATCCATAAATAGACTGGGGAATGACTAGCTAGGCTGCAGTACTGCAGAGGACCATAAGATGAATAGGAACCAATAGCATTCTCTTGTTGTAAAAAAAGCCAACAGGATATTGGGCTGTATTAACAGGAATGTCACCAGCAAATTAAGGGACATGATTCTTCCACTCTATACAACACTAGGGAGGCCTCACCTGTGTCCAGTTTTGGGCTCCACACTTCAAGAAGGATGTGGGCAGATTTGAAAGAGTCTAGTCAAGAGTGACAAAATGGTAAGATACCTGGGAAGCATAACTTGGGAGGAAAGGCTGAAAGAAGTAGAATTATTTTGTTTGTAAAAGAGAAGCCTGAGGGGGGGATTTGATAACAGTCTTCAAGTAACTGAAAGGCAATTAGAGAGAGGATGAATTTGGGCTTTCTCTATAGCTGTATGGGACAGGATTAGGAGCAATGGCCTCAACGTGCAGTAGATGAAATTTAGGTTGAAGATTAAGAAATTGAGGGTGGTCAAGAATTGGAAAAGGCTACCTAGAGAAACTGTAGACCCTCCAACCCTAGACATTTTCAAGAGCCGGTTGAACAGATACCTGGCTGGCATGGTTTAGTCAGGCACAATCCTGCCTTGAGGAGAGGACTGTGCTAGACCTCCTCATGAGGTCCTTTCCATTCATACTTTCCTATGTTGCTTCTATCTGTAAGGGCTTGAATTGGGACCTGGCTAAAGTGCCTGCAGTGTTCTGTCTCCACAGGAAAGTAAGGTTTGTAGGGGTGGGACAGGGCATAATAGTATATATTATAGGGATGGCACATTTGACTTTTTCTTAGAGCAGCAGTAGCATGTATTTTTAGGAGGGCTTTACCAGTCTCACTCTTAGTCATCCTGACTTAAACCAGATACTGTGTTTTATGCCACTGCAGGTAAAAAGCAGTATTAGCACCTCCATTCTTCTCTTTCTGTGGATCAGCTTTTAGTTGCATCTTATTTAATTTGGGGGAACACTATTAAAAGTAAAAACAGGAGTAATGCATCCAACTCTTACTGATTTCCAGTAGAATTTGGTACCTACTTTTTTTTTTATCTTTGCAAAATTTCTTCAGTTTGCACAGCTAAATGGCTGCAAATGTCTCTTCAGTTTCCCAAGGGTACAGGAAGAACGTCTTGCCACGAAGCATCTGTAAAGTGAGGATTACTTTCATCACTTGAATTTTTGTATTGTTGTAGATATTAATGAGTGCCTCAGCACCAACATGCCATGTCCAGTTGGGCAGATATGCATTAACACTGATGGCTCATATACCTGCCAAAGGATCACACCAAACTGTGGGCGTGGTTATCACCTCAATGAGGATGGAATGAGATGTGTAGGTAAGCTATAGATACAGATCAAAACTGTTAAATGCATCAGGGAGAAGATGTTTACATTTTTACTTTTTAACTCAACCTTGTTGTTCTCAGCCTTCCATCCAAGCTTTTCTTCCATCTACTCCTATAGCTCTCTTTTGACCTTTATCTTCCTTCATGTTGCCCCTACAGGTGATGGTCTGTGAGCAATCTCTCATGCTTCCTTCTTTCAGTGATCCTTTCGAACTGTAGTCATATACTGGAATAATTCAGTATGAGTGAAATGCACCCTACTGGAGAGAACCAGCCCACTTGCTCCTGCAAAATGTCCTACTTGAGTGTTGCATAAGATATCAAAATAAGGTTTAAGGGAGTCTTATACAAGCCTTGTGCTAGTCTTTAGATTGGGGGTGAATGTAATCCTTAGATTGTAAAGGCAAGTACTTGTGTGTGCTCTAAACTTTAAAAAACCCATCGGGGCAGTTCTGAGATGGTGCGAACTATCGTAGCTTCAGTGATTTAGGTAATCTGGGGCCAATTCTACCAGGTTAAGAACTCTCCCATGGATACCTAATGAGGTATATAAAAATAATTCTATATAGCACTTCTTTCATATAATGTGCTGCCTTTTTTTGGTCCCTGACTCCCCCCCTCCCACTTTTATAACACGTATAGCAACATGGGGTTCAAGAGGTATCATGTGCTGTAAGAATACTTTACATGGAATTAACAGAGGCGTAAGAATGCAGCCAGCTGCTCAGGGAAGCTACAACACACTGGGGCAGCAGTAATTTCTGGCTGCTGCTGTGCACTGGCACAATTGTGTGGTTGAAGCAGCACCATTTTCCTGCTCATACCCCAAAGTTGGTGCCCAGGGCAGCTGCCCCATTTGCCCCACCCTAGTTCCACTACTGCTCATTAATTTAGATCCAGTTCTCTTTGAAGTGCAGTGGAGTTTTGCCATTGATTCTGAGGCACGCATGCAGTAGTGTTTCGCAGATACTAATGAATGAAGCCTCACAATTTATCTCTATGTGAAGCAGATAATTTTTTTTTGCAGGAGAGGGAGGCTGGTAGGCCTAAATTTTCAATTGACTGCATATTTTTGAATAGTCAAAGATTATAGAATTTTTACAAAAAACTACATTTTTTTTAGTTTTCTTGACAAAAATGTGATTTTTTTAAAGTTGTTTTTGACTCATTTCTTCATGGAAAATTTGTGCTTTTTCTGTGTATTATTTAGATCTATTGGCAGTTTTTCTTTTTTTTACAATTTTTGACCAATATTTGACCAGTCAACTAACCAAACTTTATTTGACTCATCATATACCAAACCCTAGTATTTTTACACTTATTTTATGGATGGGCAAGCTGAGGTAGGAAAAAAGGTCATACAAAGGCAATGCTTTACTCCCACTGCTTGAGACCATCTTTTCGCTCATTTCTCTCTCACTCTCTCTCTTTTCCCCTTAGATATAGATGAGTGCTCATCATCCAGCCAGCCATGTGGAGAAGGACATGTTTGTATAAATGCCCCTGGCAGTTACCGCTGTGACTGCAAATCAGGCTACTCATTTGATGCCATCAGTAGAACTTGTGTTGGTAAGTTGCATTCTCTGAAAAGATTGTTTCATAGCTTTAAATATATAAATAAATACCTAACTGTTTTATAAAAGCATCACTTTATTAGTTTTGTCACAAGGTTTCATCTGAACGTGCATGTTTTGCTGGAGTCCACCATGTATTAGAGTTGCTGATACTTCAAAGGAAACTGTATTTATATAAAGATCATAAGACAGTGTGTAGTTGTTTTTAGGGTGCTTTTACTCTGCATCTAAAGCAAAAACGTTCCTTTGGAAGAACACAGCAGTCTTCTTGTGTTTATATCTAATTCAATTACACACAATAACATGCTGAATATAAACCAGTGCTGCCTCTAAAGTAACATTCTGAGCACTTCATTCATTTTCCAGCATAAAATGGAAATCTAAAAAATGGAAATCAAATTTCTGTGACCAGAAACTCATTCACTGGAGTGCCCCCATAAAGGCAACTGGTACCAAAGTCTGTATCTATATTTATCATTGTAGACATCAATGAGTGCAGGCGCTACCCTGGACGTCTTTGTGCTCACAAATGTGAGAACACTCCTGGATCCTATTACTGCACCTGTACCATGGGCTTCAAACTTTCTATTGACAGCAGGTCATGTGAAGGTAAGGAGACAAATCTACATGGGCTAGCTAGCTGAAAACACTGTTCATTGTTTGTTATTTTTGCTCTTCCTGTTTGATTTCTCTGTTCTAGGCTTCAAGGGCTAAATTGTAATGGCTTAAGGGATTGTTTTCACTATAGTAATTTTCAAGGTGAAATATAAACAATGTCATCATAACCCCTCCTTTCCCCACATGGCTTTGTCCCTTCTAATGGCAACATCGCAGAGGGGCAGTGCTGTTATAGGAGATAATAAAACACAGTAGAATAACCCACTGCCACCCACCAACATGGAGATATTCAGACTTATGGTCACTTGTTGCCCACCTACTTAGTGACATAGCTGATAATGTATATTTTTGTGATAGTGATTCAAAGAAGACATCTGATTTTGGTCAATAGGAATGCTTTTTCCAAATTTATGACGCAATTTTGTAGAATTGAGGTTTATGTAAGCAGACCCTACTAGTAGAAAATTGGTTGAGCTGTATCAAATTTTATATTTCAGACTTAAATGAATGTGAGAGCAACCCCTGTAGTCAAGAGTGTGCCAACGTGTATGGTTCCTATCAGTGTTATTGCCGTCGGGGCTATCAGCTTAGTGATATAGATGGAATCACCTGTGAAGGTAAGAAATGTTTTAACTGAAAACTTCAATTTTTTTAAAGGTGGGAAGTGGACAATACTTTTATTTTTATTCACACAAAAACAAAAATGAGATGTCATCTCTATGGAACAGTTCCTTGTACCTGATTTAACACCAATACAAATAATATTTAATCATTTGGGTCTCGTAAGTTTTCTACACAATTAAAAACTATCTCCCATCCAGACCCCTTGAGATCAACTTGCAGGGTGTGAAGTCCTGAAAAAGTTTTGTTGTTTGAGCTGAAATATAGTTTGAGGCTTGTTTTAAATATTGGAAGTGCTTTTACTTGTAGCACTAACTAGCTTATATATTTTCATCAGCTGAGGATTCTGAAAAGCATCTAAGTACTTTTTTATACTTGACCTTTTGTGAAGCAAGCTTTGAGCACACACAAATACAGGCATTGCTTAAAGAATTATCCTAATGGGATAGGCTTGTCTAGTGGATAGTGACTGGACTGGGACCCCAGAAGCTTGAATTCTTTTCTTGGTTTGCTTCTGGCTTTCTGGGTGATCTTTCACAAGACACTGCCTCAGTTTTCCCATTTTGTAAAATATGAATGAAGCTACTGACTTCCTTTGTCCTCAGACTATAAGGTCTAGAGATGAGGAGTTGTACATTAAAAGTCATTCATCATCATTGTTATCTGCTTTCATGGCAAAGCTGAATTTCTGGTTTTGTTGGTCATGGACAGGTGTTCATTTCTACCACTGTAAATTTCTAGGAAATTTGCAGCACTAGAAATCTTCCTAAGAGAGGGCTCATACAGGTGTTCTAGCTTGCAGATGCCCTCTCTCCCCTGCTTCCCATGCCTTCCCCAGACTGGAGTCCCCACAGAGACTCCTCCCTATCACAGAGGAGTCAAGCATACAGCTGTTTATTCTAGCAAGAAAAACACTCTCACAGGGGAGATCTTCCAGGTGTCAGCCTAGAACATCTTTCTCCCAAATGGGGCATGATTCTTCTGGGAGAAACTGAATTAACACCTGCATGCTAGCAATTTCTTCTGGAAGAGCAGCAGTCCTCCCAGTAGAAGTGTAATGCCTGTATGCAATGGCCCTTGTGCCCTGTAATAATTTTGTACTCTGATCACTACAAGACTTTTTTGCACAGTTCTGCCAGCAGACAGCAACAGCTACAGGGAAGCTACCAATGTACATGTACACTGATGTGGCTACTGGTGGCTCCATTACAACAACTTTGCCAGCAGGAAGGCACCAGTTGAGAGCCCAGGCACATCTACACATGTCTTCTATCAGCTTCCAGGTGGTGGCAGAATCCTCTCACTCAGATAGTAAGTGAAAGAAGGGGTTCTATTGCTCTAGTGGAGCTGTTGATGTGGATCAGCGTTTTTTAGACTCAAGGCACCCCTCAGAAAATGCCACCTCTTAGTTTTCACTAGGTGTTTGACTATGGAGAAATAATAAAGCAGTTCTGTTGCAACAAACTCAGAAAGACTACAACAGGTCATAATAGTTTTCACACTTTTAATTCCTATTTGAAATTTCTGGGTTTACCTTGTGAATTGTGTAGGTATTTGCACACCTAACATTGCTAATATTGCATGGCACCTTGCAACACCCTTAAAAGGATCTCATGGCACCCTGGTTGAAAATCACTGGTGGAGATTCACTCCCAGTTCTGCTGATGGGTTCCTGCCAGTAAAGAGACCTATGGTTATTCCCTTTTATTGGCTCATGCCATCTTCATCCAATGGTCTGTGACAATCTACTTATCTACATCACCAAATTGTTTACAATTGTTTAATTATCTACAGCACCAATTGCTGCTTCATCCTAAGGTGAACTATTTAAACATGGTGAAGTTTTTTTTCCAGATATTGATGAATGCGCTTTACCTACTGGAGGGCACATTTGTTCTTATCGATGTGTTAATGTTCCTGTCAGCTTTCAGTGCCCCTGCCCCTCTACCGGGTACAGATTGGCACCTAATGCACGAAACTGCCAAGGTATGTTTCATAACTGTGCAGAAATGTCTGGTTAGATCATCATATTACCTGGAACCTAATTTGAGATTTACTGTCTGAGACCTGCATGTGCTTAATCCTTTTATTTCTTCCATTTGACAGATATCGATGAATGTGCTGCAGAAACACACAATTGCTCATTCAATGAGACCTGCTTTAACATCCAGGGTGGTTTTCATTGTCTCTCTTTGCAGTGTCCAGAAAACTATCGCAAATCGGGAGATACGTAAGTACTCTTTGTTTCCTTGAAGAACTACTTGACAGGCACATGTCCTCCCTGACCTTAAGGCAAGGTTGATTAGATGGTTGGTGGATCCTGGCAGTGACCTGCCCATGCACTTGTACACATGCACAAAAATAAATGGACAAAGCAGGATCTTGGTTTATGCATTAGACCTGGTTTATGCATTAGACCTAAGATGTGCAAAATTTTCCACCATTGTTTATATCATTTGAGTTTCATGACTTTTAAAAAGCTTAGGAGCCCTATTGCAGATAGTTTGTTGGCAGCTGCTGGCTCTTGTCATGTTACCCTTCTCATAGAAGATATAATCAGCATAGGGCCTAAAATACCAGGTCAACCAGCAACTCATTTACAGGGGGTGAAATAGTGCTAGTAATGGGGAGAAATCTTTGCTTATGTCTGCTTCAGAGCCAGACTCACTTTTTCCCCTTCAACTGATTTGTCAGCCCAATATTTACGAGAGTTTATCTGAAGAGTGTGTGGCATCTGTACAACTTTTCCAAGTGTATCTGCACTGGCAAGTTTAAATTGTCAGCTAGGGAATAAAGCTGACATGCTACAGTGCTCACAAATCTGTTATCCCCTTACTCAATCAATGTGAAGATGTATTCCTATACACACATGATCTCAGATAAGATTAAGCACTCTGTATCCCATGTATATAATGGAGCTATCTGCCACACAGGGGTTTTGCAAAGAATAATTAGTTAATATTTGCACTGAAGTCTGAAGAAGGAAAATGCAATAAAAAAGACATGACAGGTGATTTTTGTCATGATCGGATTGTTGTTGAGGGAATTTCACAGAATTAAAACGTTTATAAAATAGACATTTGCTAATATCCTTTGATGTGTCATCAGTAATTAAATTCAAATAGCACTTGTCAAATAATAAAAAGCTGTGATACAGATACTTAGCTACTTTTTAAGTTTGCTCATTCATTTATATCCTGAGGTGTTCATTATGAAAATGTAGATTATAAATATACCATAAAATTGCTCATTATATCATTGCTTAGGATACATTTCCTTCCCTGAGGCTTAATTTTGTCTTTATCTATCTGCTAAGATAACAAGATAGTAGAAAGTATTGAATAGGGAGGGATAACCCACTTGGAACAATATGCATCATTGCCAGTGCAGCAAGCCCTTGAATGGGTGGAACAAGGAAGACAGAGCTCCTTGTTTGCCTCCTCTCAAACCTTTTTAAAGGCCTGCTGCGGTTTGGCCCTTTAGCAATGAAAAGTGGCATGAAAATGTTCTCTCCATTGTGCAAATTAGACTCTTAAGAACCCTTCTTTTTCTGACTAGCCTGTAATCTTAGTGCTTTTTTTCCAGGAGTATTCAAGAGTTACTGCAACTTTACCCACTGAATTTACCTTGCCAAATACTTTTCAGGTTTCTAAACAGTGTAAGGATTAGGCTGTCTGTATGTGACACAAGTCAAACATCTGTTATCACTGAGCCAAAAAAAATATCAGAAAAGATAAGGACATAGTTCTGGCTATGTATCAGAAATCTATGCTAGATCAAGGCAGAACTTGGAAATATTCTTATAGTCGGTGCCAGATGTCTATTAATAAGGTTTCCTGTTACTTCTCAGTTTTTAATTGCGTACAACTTTCATCTGTGTGATGGAACCACTGGCCCAGAGGCTCAGGCAAGATCCCAGGATCAGTGGAGTGCAGATCCCTAGGGGAAGTGGGACAGATGTGAAAGTCCTGGCCTACATGGATGACCTCAAGATCCTGTGCAGGGACAAGGACCTAGTGGAAAGAGTTCTGTACCATACCTAGGTATATGGTGTGGCGGCAGGGGCTAAGCTCAATGTGGGCAAGAGCTCCTGCCTGGTACTGGGCAAGCTAGGAGACTGGGGAGAGGGGGTGTCTCCATCTCCCATAAGGGGGTAAAGATCCTTTGGGGTGGAGTTCAACCCAGAGCTGAAAAGGCAGAAAGCATGGGAGAAGACCAAGCCAAGGTCAAATAGAAACTGGGACTGTGGAACATGTGTCGCCTGTTAATGGGGGACACATGGCGCTCCTGAGAGTGGTGCTGCTACCAGTACACTGCACTGGTCTTCCTCCGTTATGGCAGACTGCTTATGACTGAGGCTGTGTAGAAGGAGATAGGAGATGGAATGGAAGGGAAAGCAGAAACAGCAAACATTTCAGACATGGAGGTAGGAGTGGGGAAGAAAAAGACACCCTAGAGACAGCAGAAGTGGAGATGGAGCAAGAGAGAGAGAGCCAGAGAGACAGACTGGGAAAAGAAAGAATGCAGGGGCTGATGACCAAGAAGAAAAGCCTGATAATGAGGGAGGTGAGTCAGAGGAAGAGCCAGAGAGCAGTTTCCTGCTGCTAACACCTCTGGGCTTCAGCCCAGAGTGGAGATCAAAAGGTGGGAAGCGGTGGAGAAGCGGTAATATGCAAAAATGACCCAGCAGCTTGCAAAGGCTACCGGAATGCAAGTGAGGAAGAGGGAAGATTCAACCACTTTGAGCAGTAGCACAGATGAAAGATACAGGTGCACTCAGCAAAAAACAAGCATGGATGAACCTTAAAAGGAGAGGTGCATTCATTTTAAAACAGGCATAAACAGCATTGACAATAGCTTTGCTTAACATCAAGGTATCTTAACAAGGAAAAGATGGGAACAAATTCAACCAGTGTTAAACCAATTAAGACAGATATACTCTGCCAACAAGAATGTGGTATACCAGGTGAGAGGGATAATAAATACTTTGAGAAAAGTGATCTGGAAGTTTGCAAAGGCTATACCTTTGAGAAAAGGTGGAGATGGAGACCATCCTGGTGACGAGGGGCAAATGGGGACACAGCAACAGGGGTAGCAATATTATTCAAGAACCCAGAGCAAAAAGCAAAGCAGCTAAGAAGAAGTCATCAGTGGCCAGTTGCAACAAATGATACTAATAGTCAGGGGAACAGAATTAGAAATTTCCAGTGTATGTGCACCACCAGAGAGGGAAGGAAGGAATGTACTGTTTAGAAAGCTAGCGGTTTACATGGTTGAAGGGAGACCACACATAACAGAGATTTCAATTGTATAATTGAAGTGGATGACAGAACAGGAGAAAAAAGAAATGGAGTTTTAGAGAGTGGTCATCCATACGGTTGACCAATATAATAAAAGAAGAGTTGCTAAGAGATGTGTGAGCAGGGGAGATGGTTTTCACTAGAACAGATTCCAGTGGAAAGAAACAATCAAGAATTAACTTTTTAGTTGTATCAAAAGAAATAGGGATAAGGAAGAAAGAAACTGCATGTGGCCTTTAGTGATTACCACATGCTGAAGATGGAAATGAGTCTTAGTAAAAGCCCCATGAGAGGGAAGGTACTGCGAAAGTTAAATGTGTAGTTGTTACAAGATGAAGAGATATGTCAAGCGTACATGAGACAGTATGAGGGATGATGAACACTGAAGAAATATTTTAGGAGTACCAGAAAATGGTGGATAATTGTGAAGAACAGAATGGGAGAATTTTTCAGGAAGGAAGGCTGAAGAAGCACGGGGAAAAGAAACAGAGCTAAGAGCTGCAAAGAAAGAGACAGGAGTTGCTAAAGAAAGGAAGACAGGTACAAGAAGAGCCAGAAGGAACAAGGTAAGAGTTAGAAACCTGGTTTACAAGAAAGATGAGGGAGAAAATGTTCTCAGCACAAGCACTCTGGGTGGGAGAAAGCAAAGAGAGGTCCCGATACTGTTTGACCAGAATGAAGGCAGCAAAAGGAGAGCTTAAACTAGTACAGGACAAAGGTGGTGCCTGGGTGGAAAAGCAGGAGTAAGTGTTGGAAGCAACAAGAAGATTTTACAAAGAGCTATACCAGAAGAAGGAAGCAGACGGGAAGAAGATGAAGGATTTCTTGGAAGAGACTGAAGAGAAAGTAGAGGAAGCAAAGAAGATGGAAGAATAGATAAGTTTAATGGAAATGGAGGAGTGTTTAGAAACTTTTAAAAGAGGGAAATCACCAGGAGCAGACAGACTGTGTATAGAATTTTACGTGAAGTTTTGGGTATGGATATAGTGAAAGTGTTCAAGTAAATGGTGGACACAAGAAAAGCAGAGAAAGATTTTACAAGAGACATTGTGATCTTACTCTTCAAGAAAGGGGAGAAGGAACTCATGAAAAAACTGGATACCGATTATGCTCCATAATATGAACTATAAGTTAATGGCCAAGACACTAGCTTTGCGGATGAGGAAAAACCTCAAGATCACACATGAAGACCATGTGATATGTGAAGTACCAGGTAGAAGAATCTCCAAACCAATCAAAGTAATCAGAGATACTGTCCCAATCCAAGAAACGAAAACAAACAGAGTTATAGCAGAGTGGATCATGATTACATATTCGAGGTACTAGGAGAAATGATGTTCCCAGAGAAATGTATACGTTTAATAAAGTTATTTTATAGACAAGCGGAAAGTCAAGTCCAAATTAACGGGCACATGAGTGGGGCCTCCAAAGCCACATGGGGGTGAGCCAAGGGTGCCCCCTGTTGTCACTACTATTTATGTGTGGCATGGAACCATTAGTACAAATAATAAGAAAGGACAAGGTCATAGGTGAAGTAAAGATACCGGAAGGGAGTGAGGTAAAATGCATACTATACATGGATGATTTAAATGCAGTATTTAGACTTTTGATGGACAGGGTGCTAAAGCATACATCAGAGTATGGAGAAGAGATGGGGCTAAATTAAATAAATCAAAAAGCACAATAATGGGAGTGGGAAACTGGAGGGACTTGGTGAAGTGGGGCCTTCAAATAAGAGAGAAAGAAATCAGAATGCTAAGGACCCCAATAAATGCTGAAGTGAGAGGTTAGCATGGGAAAAGGTGACAGCAAGGCTATGGCAAATCCTTTGGTTATGGTCCAGAAAGACACTGTCCTTTTCCAGAAAAGTGGTGACAGTTAAGGCTGTGCTACTGCCAATTATTCTATATACAGGAAATGTATTCCCACT